TCTACTGAGTTTCTACTGAGTTACATAATTACCAAGATTTATGCCATGTCAAATTTCATGTTATGCCGTACGTACTGTACAGTATATTAACTGATATCAATCAATATGCCAAACGAATTATGTAAATCTGATATTTTTAGATTTCACATGCACCTTGCATTCATATTCGTAAATTTACTACGTATGTGCTTCAATGACTACGTAAGCATGGCTGAAATACTGAATTGGCTATTTTCCCTGAAGAAGTTTCTAAAATTGGTAAAATTAAAGATGTCAAATATTTAAAAAAAAAAAAAAAACCAGTGCATTTATATGAGGCTTTGATTGTTAAAGGCACAATGTTGACAGTAGGAAAAAAAACGTCGAGTGACTTTTTTTCTTTAAATCAAGGGTAAAGATTAATTATTTCTCAAATCGATCCGATCAAACATAATCGATTGACTAATAATGTGTATTTTACATAATAGATGTCATTACCTAACATGTCCGTATACACATCTTTGATCTTTAACAATATCCCTTTCATAACACCATGTCTCGAATCTCAATACCTTTCTGAAAAAGTAGTATCAGCTGCTGTGGCAATTCATGATCCACATTATAAATCCTGCATGGTTCTCGAGCACGTCGGTCTTCTCGTAATAACCACTTCAAATCATACATTCTTGATTCATTCATGTCCTATACCACCAGCTTATGGTACAATTATCGATCTGTTCACCCCAACTCTTTGTAAAAAATATCGAATCACAAATTTTTACCTACCAAAGGATAACTTGAGAGTACGTGATTTTTATATAGCATGTGGTGGAAATAAAGAATGGGGTTGGGGAATTGATAAAAGTGGAACTTGTACTGATAGTGTTTGGAGAATGTTAGATGCTTTATTCTGTACCAAAGAAAAGGATGTTTTGAGATTAGAGTGGGCCAGATTACAAGACGGAAATTGGTTAACTAGGTTTCTTACTAGTATCTTTGTAGACGTTTCATACTTCTGGATTATGAAATTATATTATGAAAATAAGAAAATTCAATGATTCAA